ACACCCCATGCATTCTGTCCATACCCATCTGCCCAGGTCTGTACACAGGTTTGTCTGTCTGAATAAAAGTCTTCTTCTCAGCATGTCTGATTAGGACTTTCTGTTTCTTCTCAAACTCTGAGTTGGCCTCCAGGACTGTGACAACAACAAAAGCCACTTCATCAGGGTTCCCAACAGGACGAGGGACCTGTAGGCAGAGTTGGAACAGTCAGAGTGGATCCCATCCCTGTATCTCCAGGCTTTTGGAATAACAATTCTGATACTGCTTTTGTTTTACTCCAGTTCTTCTTCCCCTGAAAGTTCTCCCAGTACTTTTCAGGGTGTTTTGTAGACCAGTAAAATATCAATGGGGCTGCACAGCCAGAAGGACACTACCAGGCTGGAGAGAAGATCCAGTGCCCAATTAAGATGTCTTCATGGGAAGACACAGTTCTTTGCCTTCCTGGTCAGCAGGAGCAGAACTCGTGCACTATCCAGCTTTTCAGGATGTTTTGTAGACCAGTAAAATATCAGTGGGGCTACACAGCCAGAAGGACACTGCCAGACCAGTACAGGCTGGAGAGAAGATCCAGTGCCCATTAAGATATCTTCATGGGAAGACACAGTTCTTTGCCTTCCTGGTCAGCAGGAGCAGAACTTGTGCACTATCCAGCCTACTGACAACCCCTGAGAACATCTTCCTCACCTGGAATCTTGTGCAATGAAAGAAGGTGAGCTGAGAGATGGACTGAGTGATTAAGGTCTCGTTCCCAGCTCTGCTTTGCAGGGTTACTGTCACATGGGTTGGGACCACTTGCTTTTTGCTGAGCTGGAGGCACACTGTCTCTGAGAAAGGGTAGTAGAGCTGAGATGGTAAAGCCACAGCATAATTTCTATTCAAAAAAAAAAGGAAAGAAACCAGTCAGGTGAAATTGGTTTTCTAAGAGGACAAGTTTTGACCATAAGATTTGTGTACTTCCTAATGACTTTTCTGTTTTTTCATTCCACTGTCCCAATGCCAGTGGGACAAGATCAGACCATCCTTCCCATCTGTGGGCACTGCAGCCATTAACACTGAACCTGCCCCCCGTGCTGCAGGCACGTGTGAAGAATTAAAGCAATTGCTTCCAAAACTGGAAGTCACAAGATGAAGAGAGCTCCCCATGCTGCCCACGGGATCTCCAGCAGCACTTGGCTGTGTTACAGGTTTCCTGAGACTTCAGCCTTCTCTCTGAACCACCCCAGGTACCATCTTGCCTGGCTGGTTGTCCCATCACCTGCTTTTGGGCACAGAACCAGCACTGTGCACATGAGACCCCATGGTCCAGATCATGTCTCAGAACAGTCTCATGGGCACCTTCTCTTCAGCTCCTAGCACTCCTGTTCTCCTTGCTCTCCTATGCCAGATCTCACACCCCTGTGGCTGCTCTTGCAGCTGTGCCCATGGATAATACCAAGGAGCAGTTCATGTTGTTTGGGTTTTTTAATCTGATACTTGACTGTAGCAACTAGGACCACAGAAAAGCCAATGTTTAGGCAGGTTTGAAACGCCTTATCACTGACTCCTCCTGCCTACTGCCTCTGGCCAGGTTCACCAGCAGCATGTTTTGCAAGGCCAGAACAGCAGGAGGCAGGGACGTGACCTGCTGGCAGTTCCCAGTTGGAGCCCAGCACCCTGGCAAGAAGGAGTCAAAGTCCTGCTGGCCAGGAGCCTTGAGTGCTTCCACCCTGGAGACCTGTCAGCTGCCTCGAGCAGCTTGTCTGCTGCTGATATGAGGGGATCTGATAACAGATGACAATGGCAGGTTGATTTTCCTGCTCAGGCTGACTCCCCACATCTTCCCACCACCACCAGGCCAAAGGATGAGATGAGTGTTAAAGATTCACTGCCTGAACCTCCCATACCTCCCTTGCTCCTAATGACTGGAACATTTTCTCACACCCCTTTAACAACTCATCCCTTGTCCTTGCCTTCTGAGCTATAAAGGAACAAGACAGCATCTTTGGGGTTGTCCCTGAGGGACCCCAAGAGCCAGGCTCTGCTGAATTATCTATCTACACACAGTGTTGGCAGACAGGTGGGATAGCAGACAGCCTACTGGGCAAGCAGTGTTTCCCTAAAGCAAAGCTTCATGCTGCACACAGCAGTGGGACACAGGCAGCAGTCAATCATCAGAGTGAGAGCTGGGTCAGCCTGTGGAACACATCCTAAAGGACAGGGCTGTACTGCTGGAGAAGGCTTTGAAACCCAGACTCTCTGTCACCTCACACAGAGCAGGAGGGAGCCCAGCGACCTGCTCCCCACTGCAGCATCTACCTGTTTCTGTTTGCACTTATGCCGTGGCTGCAGAAGCAGAGGCCTTCAAAAAGCAAGTTCAGAAGCCAGTATAGTACAGCAGTGCCTGCTGGAACAGGAGCTGTATTCCTGATAAAGCCTGTGAAGAGAAGTGGTGCTGGGAACCACCCTTGCTGGGGGTCTGAGGAGAGGCACGGAGGGAGCAGATGGGCAGCCAAGCCAGGATGAACACACTGCTTCACAAAGAACACCCCTGAGAGGTGCCTTGGGCTCGTTTGTACCTGGTTTGCAAAGGCACCCAGCTATTTCCACTAAAGATTTAACTGGTGACCTATGACTTTGAGGAGTGAGGCATAGCTCAGAAGGAAATGTACTCCGGAGAGCAGCAGGAGACGTGAGATGTTGTCAGGTCAGAATTAAACCCATGCAAAAAGCTGGCAGAGTTGCTCTGCCTGAGTCCTTGCAGAAACAGTCTACATCAAAGGCACTAAAAGCAGAATCAAACAGGAGGAGGAGTAGCAGGGGGAAGGGTGATTGAGAACCAAGTGAAACCTTGGGAGAACGAGAAGTGATCCCCTCTGTAAAAACTCTCCTGGTGTTAGGCCTTCTGTTTCTGTCCCCCCCCTCCAGGATCCCCCCAGACCAGAGCATGCATGCAAAGCAGCTGAGGTTCTTACAGCGTTGCAGGCGTCCCAGCAGTGCCAGGCAGGAGAAGGATGCTGCCCCACAGGAACACGCTGCTCCACATGGCTGGTGGCAGGTGGGATCCCCCCACGGGAAGCTCAGCCTCTCCTCCGGCCCCTGTGCCCCCGCTGCTGCCCCCTCCCCTCTGCCCCTCTCCCAGCACCGCAGGGGACGCAGCTCCCGCCCCACCGAGCGCCCGGCTCCTCTTGGCTTTGGAGCCAAGAAGGGAGGAAGCTGCCCTTGGCTGAGGCTGGGATGGGGGTGGATAGAAGGGGTGGAGACAACGTCTGCTGCCTGCACGCCCAAGGCACTCGCCTTGGGGTTTCGTGGGGCTTGGTGGGATTCCTCTGGGAGGCGTCTTGCTCTGCCTTGTGCAGCTGACAGCACCAGGAGTGCTCAGTGGCTACGTTTGGTACAAAGGCCATGGTTTTATAAGGGTGCCTTTACTGGGATTTAACTGGAAACATCCTGGGACAAAATCATTCTTTGTGTTGCCAGTGGATTTTGCTTCAGGGTTCTTTTTCTGTAGAATGTCTGCTTTATGTATTATCTGCTTCTTACTCAAGTTTCACTCCTGCCCTGCTGCCTGCAGCCAGCCCAGCCCTGGGCTCCACACACAACCCTGCCAAGTGCCCTCGCTCCTCCCTGGAAGGAGGGAAGAACTTTAGCATGTGATGATCTTTTTGTTGTCTAGCTGTTCCCACTTAACCCCCAGCTGATGCCCGCTCAGAGGTGCAGAGCCACGGGGAGCGTTCCTGAAATCCCACAGAACTACACTTGCTTTTTGTCCCACTCGTTTAGGCTGGAACTCGAGCTCCTGTTGACTCCAGGGCCTGAGTCGTGCTCCCAGAGCAGCCACATGCAGTACTTTAAACCTGCAGAGGAGCTGCAGCCTCAGGGTGAGGTTAAAGGCAAACGTGTTCCCGTCCCAGCGGACTCTGCGTTGAGGGGGTGGCTGCTAAGCACACACAGGGGGACCCTGCCAATGTCAATCCTGGGGATTGCTTCAGCTGGGAGCACAGAGTGGGTGGATGGCAAATTCACTCTACAGTGTGTACCTTGGATTGTGCTCTGCAAGACCACAGCTAGGGCCAGGGTGGGGTGAGGACATCCACCCCCAAATGAGGTTGCAGCTAGAGTGCAAGTATGTCCAAGCCCTGTTCACTTCACAGTTGCCACCCAGGAAAAGGAAATGCAAGGTTGTAGTACCTGAGGAGAGTCTGGAAATGGATGATGGTGTTAGTGTAGAACCACCTTATGGCTGGAGGAAGCTGGCAGAAGACTGCCAAGACATCTGGCTTGGAGGATGTAAAACAGAGATTCCATAAAATATCAGGGAATCACACAGAATCACTGTGGTTGGGAAGGACCTTTAAGACCATCAAGTCCAACCGATACGTGGGGACTTAAAATGTCTTGCTTCATTTGGAAAGCTTGCAGTGGAGGTAGAAGGAGAGTTGGCAGTGGGTGGCAGGAGCAGCCCTGGAGCAGGTTCTGAATGCAGGAGGACCAGGCGTGGCTGGGATGGGTGAGTGGACAGAGATGGAGGTGAATGTAAAGGTTCTTACTCCAAACTCTGATTAAATACTGGATGAGCAGAAGATCACCAATGATGCACAGAAAGAGTGCTGAGGATGCTTTCTAGAAGCTGAGGACTGACTGCAGCACAGGTTTGGGTCTCATCGGATGCTGCAGCCAGGATCCAAGTCAGCCACAGCTGAGATCAGTTCTTCTCCTAAGTCCCCCTCAGGTGAGTTATTGACCATGTCCCCCCCAGTGCTCTGGTGCCCCATGGCCTGAAGTGAATGCAGATATGGGAGGAGAACCGTGTTGAGTGGCCTTTGATCTACTGTTGGTGGAAGCAAGTAAATATTAGCTGAGGTCATTAGCCTGGAGAAGATACTACCTCCATACAGCAACTCCCCCACTCTTTAGACTTAGGAGCATCTGAGGGGGGTATTTAGGATTGCTCCAGCCCATCAGAACGGGCAGTGCTCTCCTCCTGTGTGGACCTTGTCAGCTGCCTGCCCCAGCCCAAGCCATGGGAGCACCAGTGCTCCTCTTAGCTCTCACCCTGTTCCCAGTGGCAGCTGCAGAAAGCCTGGAACCGTGAGATTCTCCTTTTGGTTTGGGGGGTTTGGTGGAAGGGGCTGTCGTTGACGGGTGGTGCTGAGGTGCTGCACTGCTTGTGTCACAGAACTGAGCAGTGGGGACCCTGCTCTCAGGGGCACTGAGCAGGAGCAGCTCCTGGGAGTCCCAGCGGAGCGGCGGGTGAAGCCCCTGGCGTTGGGTTCTGCTGGCACTGCCCTGGGCGTGCCACAGGAGGCCCAGGGTGGAATGTGCTGGGAGGACTGAAGTCTTGTGCCTCAGGCACTGAGTCTTCGGCTCCATTCCTCACACAGCCCTGCTCTGTGCACACTGGGCAGCTGTCCTGTCTGCTCCCGACGTGGGGACACACATCAGGAGCTCCCTCAGCCCACTCTGGGTGTGTTGCAACTGGTCTGGAAGGAGCTGCACTGCTCTTCCTTCACTGCAGGCCTCCAGACCTTTCTGACCCCTGGTCTACCTCTTCATGCAAGCAGCAGAGAGGGATTCTGGCCTCTCCACCTCAGCCTCTGAATTGTTTCTGAGCATCTCCTGCTTTTTTCTAGTCACTACCTGGTGGTGTTCCCTGCTGTCATCCACCACGGCCAGGAGGAGAAGCTCTGCATTCACTTCAGCTCCTTGACTGAGACTGTCCATCTGGCTGTCACCTTGGAGGGGACATCCCAGAATCACACACTAGTGGAACAGGATGTAGAGAAGCCAGGTGGTTTCCAGTGCATCTCCTTCCAGGTGAGTGGGGCTCTGCCTGCTGACTTCCCAGTGGATGCTCTCACCCCTGCTGCCAATGGGAGCTCAGCAATCCTCACCCTTGCTTCCTCAGAAGCTTCCTCTTAGGGCTCCAAGAGGACCATTCTGTTCTCAAGCTGCATCTCTATTGCAAGGTGTAGGTGCAGCCTGCACAGGAGTTGATCTTCTTGCTTTAATTTAGCTGTGATGGGTGGTGATGGGGCTGGACCCCCAGCAAACTGAATTTCACCTAGGCAGCCTGGATATTTCTTTGGTGTCTTGAGTTCCTGTCGTTGCACCTTTGCTGCTGTAGTGAGCTGAACTAGGCACACGAAGGCTGGGGCGTGACTACAGGACCTCCAGGTGCATTCCTGGAGAGCCATGGAAACGTGTTTGGTGCTGGGGCTCTGCCTCTGCCCCTGCCTTCCTCAGCATGGTACAAAGTTGCTGTGCCCCTGCCCTGACTGTCCTGCAGATTCAGCAGAACTCAAGGAGGGTCTATAGTCACTTCTGGTTCTTGCATCAACATGACAAATGATTAACTAAGCATTTGATGCCAGCCCTTAGGAGAGGGCAAGTCCTGGCTCTGGAAGGCCAAGGAAGTCTGGCATGAGCAAAAAGAACCTTTTTTCTTCTGCTGGGCTTGGTCTTTTGGATACTGGGATGCCCTGGTTTTGCCTGATCAGTATTTCATCTCCTGATCCTGCCTTGGTCAGCTCCAGATCTGACTTCCCTATAGTTTTTCTTGGTTTCATGAAAGTCTCACATTGATGTGACGTGTGAGAGTGACACAGCAGTTGGGTGACAGGTTCATGAAGAAGGGACAGGCAGGGACTGCTGCTTCCCCCTGCAGTGCTGAGTGGGTGAGAGACACAGCCATACAGTGGAAGCTGGACTCCAAAATTTGGGGATTTTTAAACAGTGAGATGTGTCTCATATCTGGGATAAGGTGCAAAGTCCCTGATGAATTTCTTTTTCCCTTTTCTTCTGTCAATCCACCTAGGTGCCAGAGGTCATTCCAAGGAAAAGTGATAATTCCATACCAAATGTAAGACTCCTCTCTTGGCTGCCTCTCCTCTTGGGAACTCGAGGGCTTCAACCTCTCCTCAGCCATCTTACTGTCAGAGATTGCAGGGTGGGAAGGGAAGGATAGTGTAGGGAAGAAAGAAAGGGGGAGGAAAGAGGCAAATGGGACAAGAAAAAAGGCAGAAAAAAGAGAACGAGGAAGCTGGGGAGCACTGAGAAGACCATGGCTGGGGAAAGGAGAGAGGTAAATAAAAGGAGGGGAAGGAAGGGGAGGGAAGTTGGAGAATTTGGTGGGTTAGATGCCCCTGTTTCTCATTCAAGCTACTTGCAATCTCAGACAAGTTTGGGTTTTTTGACCTGACAGCATGAGGTGGTGACTTTTCTGCATGTCCTGACCCACAGCGGGGATAATGTGCTCTTTGAGGGGCACAAGAAGGTTCTGATCAAGCCCCAGAAGAATCTCATCCTGGTAGAGACAGACAAGGAGATATACAAACCTGGAGAAACAGGTAAGGCAAGATGGAAAAAATGGGTAATGGCACATGGAAAAGGTCAAGGTGGCAGCCACATCTGGGGGGAAGGTTTCACCAAGTGCAGCAAGCAAAGCTTGCTGGAGATGGAAGAAAGCAGATCTGTGATCTCAGGTGTGTCCAGGAACAGTATGAATCAGGATGTTCCCCTGGAAGCTGTGCTTCACCCAATGCCCAGCCTGCTGCTCCTGCATCTTGTTCTGGTGATATCTCTAGGCTTAAAAGGGAAGCTGCTACTCTCCAGGACAGTGGACAGTCTTTTGTTGGTTTTTTTTGAAGACTGTTGTTAATATTTGAGTAAAGCCCAGATTTCTTAGTTGTAGAAATACAGAGATCTCCTCCACAGTCTTCACAACACGAGCAGAACGCTGACAGAGCAACCCCACTGCTTAACACATCACTGTAACCTTCCCAGCTAAAGCCAGGAGTCCACAGCTGCATCCTCCCCTTTCAGACTCCCCTCTGGGGTGGGAGATGCTGGGCAGGGCTCTTTGGGGAAAGACCTGAGTACCTCTGAGGCAAAGAGAGAGACAGGAGCACAGGCCAGGAGAAGCAGATTTGAGCAAGGCCGTGCTGCAGCCAGGGTGCTTTACTGTCCTTCCCTTTACATCCCCAGTGAAATTTCGGATTGTCAACCTTGACGAGGACCTTAAGGTCATTCAAAATGAGGTGAGTGTCACCTTGTGCTTCTCTAGAGGTAGGAGCCTCAGCATGAGACACATGGAGAGGGTCATGAAAGAGGCATCTCCCTTCAAACCTGTTGAGCTGTAAGAATAAATGATCTCTGAAGGGAAACCACTCATCCACTGGTCCCCTGGAGAAAGACTGCAGTGTAAGATGGAACAGAGGGAGGAGGAGACCTAGTGTGGGGTCTGGATAGAGCAGAACTTTCTAGTCAGGTGCCCACATGAGGCAGTGTTATCACCACTGGGTCATGTGGATGCTGTTTTGCTCTGTACAAAACTGAACTTGTGTTTCTCTTGTTTTTTTTTACAGTACTCCCAGATATGGTTGCAGGTAAGTGACAAAGAACCGACCAAAGGGTGATGCCTGTCTCTTCTGCTGTGCCCTTTCACTCCTGAACAGAGCTGTGCCACAAATAGAACCTTGTAAAGCTAGGGTTGACAGAATCACAGCATGGCAGGGGTTGGAAGGGACCTCTGGAGAGCATTTAGTCCAACCTCCCTGCTAAATCAGGTTCACCTACAGCAGGTTGCACAGGATTGCACCTAGGTGGGTTTTGAAAGTCTCCAGAGGAGACTCCACCACCTCTCTGGGCAGCCTGCTCCAGTGCTCTGCCACCCTCACTGGAAAGAATTTTCCCCTCATGTTCAGATGGTATCTCCTGTGTTCCAGTTTGTGCTTGTTGCCCCCTGTCCTGCCACTGGGCTCCACTGAAAGGAGTCTGGCCCCATCCTCTTGACACCCACCCTTAGATATCCACAAGCATTTATGAGATCCCCTCTCAGTTTCCTCTTCCCCAGGCTAGACAGACCCATAGCTCTGCCTTTCCTCCTAAGAGAGATGCTCCAGTCCCCTGATCACCTTCCCAGCTTTCTTCAGCTGAAGTTTTTTCCACCTGGACAGCCCAGGTCCTTCAATCCAACCAGCACCTCCGTGATGCACAGGGCTGAGCCAGAGGCAGGGCAGAAATGGACACCAACACCTCATCTGCACGGAGCACAGGCACCAGTCTGGGTGCCCAGTAGGTGCAGCACAGCTGCTGCTGCTGCTTCCCAGGGCTTTAGGGGGTTCTCACTTCCCAGGAGCTTCCCTGTTCTTGGCAGAATTTGCAATTCAAAAGTCCAGCACAAGGATGCTGGAGGGAGGAGGAGGAGTCTCGACTGGTGGTCTGGGATGGTCTCTGACTGGGGCCAGGCTGAGCTCCTGTGGTGCCCTCTTGTGCCTGCCCTGCTCCCCGTGCGACTTGCTGGCTCCACGTGTCCTTCTCTGAGCAGGATCCCGAGCACAACCGCATTGCTGAGTGGCTGCATGTGAAGCCCAGACAGGGCATCGTGGACCTGTCCTTCCCCCTGGCGGCCGAGGCACCCCTCGGGGAGTACATCATCTCCGTGCAGCGAGGCATGGCTCAGAAAAACTTCACTGTCTACGAATACGGTGAGACCTGGGCACCAGAGGGGAGGGAAGAGCCACCTGGGTGGCTGGAGGAGGCAGCAAAGTGATGCTCCTCAGCCGTGCTCCTCAGCCCCTGGCCCTGGGAGGACAGCAGGGTGGGGACAGGGAGCTGTGTGCACACCTCGTGCTAGGCTGGACGTCCTGCAGCCCTGCAGAGTGCAAAGCTGTGCCCGACACCTCGTTCTAGCTGTGGCTGGGCCCTGGGAGGGGCACTTTCTGCTGCCTGTTGTCCCCTCCTCCAGGCTGGCTTTCCTACACGTTCAGTCAGCTGCTAGAGAGGGAAGTGGCATCTTCTCTTAGTTCCACCCCGTTGCAATGAGGCTGGAGAAAACCTTGTGCCCTTTGAAGTGTCTGTTCCTGCAGAGGTGGAGCAGAGCCCAGTCCCGTGTGGGGCTGCAGGGGCCAGCAGAGGGTGGAGTGGCTGGAGGGAGTAGCCCCTATTGCAGCATGTTGAGGAATAACTGGGACCTTTACTGTCTGTCCCCCGAGCTGGGCTGCAGCTGTACCAGAACTCAGCCAGTGCCCGAAATCAGTGTTGCTTGTTCTCCTCCATCCTTATATTCCTCTCTTCCATGCAGTGCTGACGAAATTTGAAATAACTTTTGAGCACCCTCCATTCATCACGACAGCAGATGAGGCATTTGAGCTGAAGGTCTGTGGCAAGTGAGTATGTGGCACCCTGTGGTGCCTGGCCATCAACTCAGCAACCCCCCCAGGCTGCCCGTGGCTGAGACCCAGCCTTCTAGGATGACCTCTTGCATGACCCTGTGGCTGGGGAAAGCAGATTTCTCTCTGGAACTCCTTCAAAGCCACCACGGATGCCTGGCACAGGGGGTGGAGGCAGATGCAAATTGATCTTAAGGGATGAGCTGAAGTCCCTGAGCAAACAAAACTCCCAGGGGAGCTCCCCCAGGCTCCAGTTGCCCCTGGTGAGGGTGGGGGGTGGCCTGGATCAGTACTCAGCTGAAGGGGCCAGTCCTCACGTGTGTCTCTCCCCTCTGACACAGGTACACCTATGGGAAGCCTGTTCAAGGGAAAATAGATATCCATTTTATCACAATTTACCAGTACTTGGAAGGCATTTTTTCAAGTTCTGATGAGACGAGGAAGAGAAGAGGCTGGGTAGGTGAACAGATAGGAAAGTGGAAGATATAACCTGCTGAAATTGGGTGTCTGTCCCCTTCACCTGCTCTGCTCTGCCCCTGGTGCACACCGAGCTGCCTAGTCTGGGGTCTGCCCACTGCCTAGACCTGATCAAACCCCTGATCCCCCTTCCTGAGACTTTAGTGCTCGAATTACTGCTCTGGCTGCCCCTGTCTGTGCTTCAGGAGGTGTAAGCCCTGGGTAAGTACTGCTGCTTGGGCTCTGTCCCAGGGGTCTGTGTCTATCGTGTGGAACCAGATCACTGCTCTGCTCACTCCTGTGGCTGCTCCCACCAGAACAGGCTCCAGAGCATCAGATGGTCTGCAGCCTAACGCCCTGTTTCTTGCTGTATCCATGCAGTTAATGGATCCCCTTAAGCTTGCTAGTGCTCTGCCTGAGGCTGTGTCCAGTGCTGGTTACACTTCCTGGACAATTATGCTCATTAAACCTTGGTGGTTAAGCTCCACACTTGGTTTTCCCCACGTTTTCCAGATGCAGACCTTTCAGCCTGAAAGTCTCAAGAAAATATTGCTAAATGTCAGCCCAGCCAGCAACAAGCCAGAATATAAAAATACATCTGTACCTCTGCAGCTTTAACATGCCCCCAGCAGCAAAACATCTCCAGCTGGAACACTGCACTGTGCAAAACACCAAGTGGGTGCCAGCCCCTCACGTGGCATCTGAGAGGCCCTGAAAGGTTCTGTGGAGAGCTTCACAGGCATGACTAGAAACACTTTTTTTAATCCCATCTCCTGTATTTGTCTGTGACATGATTAACCCCTTGGTGATTTGCCTGAAGCACTTTCTTCCTGCCACTTTTTTCGGTGCCTGTTTAATCCAAGCATGTTGATTTTCTTCACTGGCTAAGTTATCCATGGTGGGTTTCTGCAGTTACAGGTATTTGAGCCTCCATCTGCTCCACAAATATTTGGAAATGCTTCTTTAGCATTGCCCAGCATCTGTGGAACTGTTTGTCTTCCTCCAGATGATGCTCTTTCTCTCTGTTTGTCTCCCTCTTTCTGCAGACAAACGAGAATGGCTGCACTACTTTTACAGTGCAGACACAGACTCTGGAGCTAGATGAAACTGAGAGTGTCATCGTTGTGGTAGGAGAAATGGAGGAAGACAAAACAGGTACTGGAGAGCACGTGAAGCGTTCTCTTCCTTGCTGGTAACTTCTTTGGTCACTTCAGGCCTTACAGAAACAGTTGAATTCCTTTGGAAAAAGTAGCTTGAGGGTTCCCAAGTCTTCTGGCAAGGTGGCAGTCTCTATTCTAGTACCTCTTCCATCTATTATTATTATTATTACTCAGTGGATAAGAAACTGGCTGGATGGCCACACCCAGAGAGTCATGGCCAATGGCTCGATGTCTAGCTGGGCAGAAGTGACCAGTGGTGTCCCCCAGGGGTCTGTACTGGGACCAGTGTTGTTGAACAGCTTCATCAGTGACACAGACAGTGGCACTGAGTCACCCTCAGCAAGGCTGCTGAGGATACTGAGCTGGGAGG